GCCGTGCACTGCTGACCCTGGGTGGGGCACAGGCATTGCTGGGGGGGCACAAGCAGGACCTGGTGCTGCTCTGCCTCCCGTTCCTGCAGCCAGCTCTGGGGCAGGGGCACACTGCAGGCCCACGGCCTCAGCCCCACAGGCACAGGCCAGGGTGCCTGATCTTCCAGGTCTTTAAAGAAAGGCAGAGGGTTCCTTACAGCACGGGCCAGACCCTCCTCCCAGACCCCGGCACACAGCCACAGGAGAGCAGCTGGCACAGCTTGCGAAGGGGGAGCCAGGCTTCCTCCTAGCACAGTGCTGCACTCGAGGCGGTTGTACCACTGCTGCATTTCCAGTGCAAGTAAATATAACCCTTCTTAAATACCCAAACTGGCAGCAAGGGGGTATCAGGGATGAGGGAGAGGATGTGGCACCCCAGATGTGCTTGGAACCGACAAGAAGGTGTGGACCAAGCGAAAGGACCCGAACATGCTGCCCCAACATCTTCATTCTACTGCAAACCACCCTGGGACGTGGGAAGCCAGGACTTCTTCCCCAGTATCACCAGTTTTTCCATCGAGGAAAAAAGAGGTGTCTGGCCTTCTTGAGCAAAACCCCACACCCGTGCACTCACTTCAGTTGTGACTTCAGTCACAGTTCCTCTTCCAGGACGAGCAGGGCTTGCTGTCCCAGGCACCTGCAAGCTGGCAGCATCAGAGACAGGGAGACACCAGACCCACAGCATAGATTTACTGTGAACACGCATCATCACAACACAGTGCAGAGATCTTTGGGCACAGCTTCACAAAAACACAGAACCTGGCTACAGACAAACACACAGACTTGTCCATAAATACAGGAGGCACAGCCCTGGCCTGCACTCAGGATGCAGCAGGGACACCCGTGTCAATCTTGCCCTCAGGCTTGTGCTCATAAGTTATTTACATAAATATGTATTAAATACTTTTCATTTTATATATAATAAAGATTTCTCCTTATTAGTTTCTAATAATCCTGATTTGTTCAAATAGTTTCTTTTAATTTCTGTCACCAAGACTTCAGAGCTGTACTCTGCCCGAGCCTTTGGGACTAGAGAAAAAAAACCCGTGTGTGTCCTCCCTGCTCACCTCTCAGGCTGGATCCACAGGCTCCTGCCTGCCGGCCCCAGCCCAGCAGGAAAACATTCAAGTTCACACCAAAGAGACCCTTTCTTGCAAGCAGCAGTCATGAACCTGATTCCCTCATTACTCTCCTTCCCACACTCATTCAGAATACTTTCTGCTTCTCCTAGTCTTCCTGCCATGGACTCTCTGGACCTGGTTTTGGTGGCCAGTGGTGGGAATTGAGAGAGGAAGAAGGAGGAACAGAGAGGTTGGTGGTTGTGATGGATCTGATTACTTTGGGCCCAGAATGCCTTCCTCTGAAGGCTATGGGCCCAAAAATCTCAAGGGAGCATCCGCCCCCTTTGGATTTACCACCCCAAAAGCCTTGGCTGTACCAATCCTCTCGCTCTGCTGTCCCAGCAAGCATACAGCCCTTGGGACACCAGCACAGCCCCATGTCTCTGCTCCACGGAGGTGCCATGCCAGCAGCAAGACTGCATTCGTTGTTCATTTAAGAAGGCGGATGGGGCATTGTCTCTTGCCAAATGGCAAAGAGCTGGCTTGTGGAGGGGCAGAGCAGACTCTTCCACACCCTGGAGTCCTGTGGCCTTGGGACATGGCTTGTGCTGAGGACAGCCAGCCGCACGAGGTGCTGTGCGGGAAGCTGGGCTGCCTCCAGGCTAGAAGCGCTTGCAGAGTGAGTCCAGTGAGCTGCTAATTCTGCTGATCCTCCCGACACAGCGGCTGCTGTTCCTCCATCCTCTTCTCAGGAGGCAGTGGCTGCGCCTGGCCCAGGTGACCAGAGAGAAGCTGGCCTGATAGAGCACTCTCCCCCAGCAGCTCCTTGCCCATGTGCTCTGGGTCCAACACCTCTCCCAGCAGCTCCTCTTCACAGGGCACCAAGATCTCCTTGGACAGCCCTGACTGATCCAGGTCAGTCATTTCCCCTGTATACCCCTCACCTGGCTTCACTCTCTCCCCAGCCAGCCTTATATCAGACCCTGCACCACACTTTGGGTTCCCTGTGCTACTTGGCTCTAAGATTTCCCCAGCTGATTCTTCTTCATCCAGCCCCACCATGCTCTTTTCCTCTGGGCCAGAGTCCTCCTCCATCAGCTCCTTCTTGCACAGCTCCAGGACCCTGCCTGGCTCTGGGCTCTTATTCCAGCTCAGGGTCTCTGGGGCACTTGGCTTGGCTACTGACAACCCGGACATCCCCACCTCCACGTCCAGCCCTCTACCTGGAGCCTGGCTCTCTCCTTGCTCAGGGGACTGGCTATTCAGCTGCTCCTCACTTTTTGAGGGGCTGATGGAAAATTTCTCAGTGAAGCTGAAACGAGCGCAGTTGTCCACAGAGGTTGGGGAGGATGGGCCTGCACTGGAGACAGTACTGGAGGGGCCGCTGCTGTCTGCAAAGAGGAAGAACAATCTTAAACATTTAGCTAATATTTCCCCAGCCCAAAGCCTGGGCAGACCCAGGCTGTCACAGTTCCACAGTTCTACAAGCAATGGGTGGGGGTCATCTACATGCTATGCAACCTGGCAGGGGCTTGCAGCTGCTCTTAGGTGTGTTTCTGGCATCTCAGCTGATGAAAACCCAGGCACAAACACCACACTTGCATCTTGCCCTGCAGTGCTATGTTGGCATGTAGCCAAGAGTGGATTCTGCTGTCGTTATAGAGCAAAATGTGAAATGTGATGTTGGGCTTTGAGCTGAGAAGCAGTTTCTTTCATTCCCTCATGACTACGGAACACAGCTTCAACTTTGTTCCTCTTGGTTCGTGACACACACAGTCCCTGAATGTTGAGCTAAAGTCACCACTGGAAGAAGAAATACTGCTTATTCTTGCCTTATACTGTACAATGAGTAAAACGAGAGAACAGATCTAGATTATATCTAATCCAATAAAGGGGGGGAAGATTAAACAACTGTTTCCAGTCAGATCAGTTCCCTAACCTTGCTGCCTACACAAACACATGCTACTCCTGGCACAAGTTGTGTGCAGCCAGAAGAGTAGGACTGCTCTTTCAGTGGCAACCTTGACTTGTCTTATCAAGGCACCTGCTGTGCAACTGTTGGCTAACCGTTTCCCCTTTGAGTGCCAGTCAGAGCTGCAAAGGGGACTAACTAACAGTCACCAGCTCTGCAGAGACTGTGACAAGTGAGGCCCAGGAGCTGCAGAAAAGCCTGGAAGTGAAGATCTAAACAATCTGTTTAGTTCTTCATGGCTGTCCTACATGGAGCTCTGGGTGAGGCATGTACGTGGCTGGTTAGGAAAGGAAGACATTTCCACATGCCAGCACTGAGTTCCATGTGTCACGGAGAATCACAAAACTTGAGATGAAAATGAAGTGCATTCAGGCCCTTCATGTCCTAGTGCTCAAAGCAGAGGATGCCTGGAGAGACAGCATCCATCCAACAGTAGATGTCCCCATGATATACTACACTAGAGAGTCCCTTTTTGCATCTTTCTTTGGAAGTTTTTTCACAAGGCATATAACTAGTTTCCCTTTTACCTATTTCCCCTTTCTGTTTCTGTTCCTTCAAGGGCAGAGCATAGAAATCCTTGGCTTCCAGCATTTGGCACCCTTCACTTCCCCCCCTCACCATCACATTCATCCCTGATCAAGAAGCAGCACACTCACACCAAGGGGGCTTATCCGAACGCTGGCGCAATGGCAAAGAGGATGATGACAGGATTCGCTGGGACATAAAGGGGTCTCCTGGTATCTGGCTGCCAATCATTGAATCAAACAAAGCTTCAAGAAAAAAAACAAAAAACAAAACAAAACACGGATCAGTAATATTCAGACAGACATAAAGAAACGGCTCACAGTCCAGGAGCAGGCAGTCTGGGAAGAGCTCAAGAACAGTGCAAATTCAGAGCCACGCCTGTCCCTCAGCTCCTGGGAATATGAGGCTAAGATTTCCCAAGCTGGAGTCTGTATCCACCTCACCGTGCTTATCAGCCGCAGACAGACCTGACCAATTAATTGTCTTTCAAGTAAGTGGCCTAGGATGGCTCTGAGCTGGATCCCATAGCTCACTCCTGGGCTAGAACATCCTGGAACAGGTTTTGGAGACTGCACTTATTGCCAGTCCCGTCAGGCTGATCTGTCCCGATAACATAAAAGACCAAAAGGTCTCTCGCCTCAACTCCATCCTGGCTCACCCAGAGCCAAGCCCACCTCACCCGTACCTGCGGTAGACTGGACATGCGATTCGGTGCAGCTCCTGCACACAGCTGTCAGGAACTCGTTGACCTGTCGCAAAGAGAGGGAGTTGTGCAGGGTCTCCAGGGGATAAATGGTGGGAACCATGGAACAGCCTTCAAAACCTGGAAAGAAACCCAATCAGAAAATGAATAGAGCAAAGAGCAATCTCCATCCACACAGGACCACTCAGCAGCTGAAGGAGGTGGGCAGTCTGGCCATCAAACAACAGGCACACTCAGGCCTCAGGTCACCTCTTCTAGGCCAAGAAAACCATCACTAGGCTATCACATGCAGTAACAGACCTGAAAGCAAGCGTCCAGGCACACGCAGAAGGAGGGAGAAGAGGAGAAAATGTATCTAGCAGCAGCCGTGTTTGCTGCAAAACCTGTGACCCTTTTGCTAAAATATATGGTTATGATGGAGAACTTTGCACAGTGTGTCACACTTTACAGAAGCTAAACAGAATTTGAGTGAAGTCAACACAATTTCCATGAAAGGACTCCCATCACCAGTGATACCCCAGTCTGGGACACAGTCCACCCTCTCCCCACCAGTGAGGCAGCACACGCTGCTGCTAATGCACGGAGCGGCAGACCCTCCGGTGTACGTCTGACCAACTGCCACCCAAGGAAGGGCTGGGCAACAGTTTGAATTGTTTTTCCCCTTAACAAGATTTCACGGCCAGCAAACCCAGAATTAGTAGAAACAGGTATCTCTACATCTGACAGACACTTGCTCAGAGCTAAGCTGCATCACAACCACTCACAATAAATTATTTGCTACTCAAGCGAGCAGAGTATTACAGCAAAGCATTTTCTCTTCATCCAAGCTTCTTTGCAATGCTTCGTGGCACCAAGCCAATCTGAAACTGTCAGAGGAGCAAGGAAGAAACAAATGCGTCTCTGGGCATATGAGAACGAAGCCTCCTCCTGCTCTGCACCTCTTGAGTTTTACGGCCTCTCAACTTAAGTTTAGGCTTCCCATTCTGTGACTCCCTAGTTCCCTACAAGGAGCTCAAAAAGACCCCAGGGAAGGAACTGGGTTTGTTCCTACAGAGAAAGAAAATCACTTTGAAATACAAAAGGTACAACAACTCTTGGTGCACTACTGTGTCAGGATTGCTGCCCAGCACGCTGGCAGGCTAAAAATGATCCCTGCGGCTTGACAGCACCTAAGGAGAAGACTTAGAGCACCTGGATTATCTGCTATATCACCTCCAGGACAGTCTCTGCTCCAATCCACTTGCCTAATCCAATTCTGCAAGAGGCGAGGAGCATGAGCCAGCAGATGGTATTTAGAGTAAATCCACATGCAATATGAGGAGGCTGCAGACCAGATCATCACCAGTTTGCAGTGCTGCAAAGACATTCACTCCCATAACAGCTACTGGAGATAAAACCCTCCAGAGTCCAGAGAGGTTACCTGTGCCAAAAGGGGCCTACAAACATCAATTCAAGATGTGAAGGATAACAAATCCTTTGCTAGGACGAAGGAATGTAAGACACCGGAGGAATACCATACTCTTCTCTGTCCCTTGCTGGGAAGTAGAAGTGCTGAAGAAAGAAGAGTATCTGTTCATTATTTTTTCATAGGCCTTCTGGGAGACAGAGCTAAAGGAAAAGGGTGAGGGCAAGACTTAATGAACAGCCATGTGGAGATGGTTGTGGAGCAGACCATTAGTATGAGGCTAATGTCACTTTGCAACAGAATCTGGTATAAGAAGGGCCAAAGTCAGCTCAGCTATTAGGGTCTCCAAAGAAAAAGGGAAGAAGTCTGAATATAACACAGGGCAAAGCAATGTAGTAACAAGATACACTGGAGGCATTGATGGAGATCCGAGTGCTTGGGCACTCCTCTAATAAAAAGAGGAAATGAAAGGTCCAGCGTTAAAGGAAACGTGGAACACTGAGGCTACTGATGTGAAATGATACACCTATAGCCCCCAAGTGCCAAACGCCTGCTCACACAGCTCTGCTCAGCACTAAGTCACTTCGCTGGTCTCAAGTTAAGTAGAGAAAAAGGCAAAGGTTTCCCTTCTCAAGGTGAAGCACTACTATTTTCAAGGAATCCCTCTCATTTGTATGTGGCAGCCCACCTCCCTGCACACCTCCTCTGACCTGCTTAGCTGCTGTGGGGAGGCCAACAGCAGCAGTTTCGTGGCACTGCAGTAGAACCAAAGCAGAAGTTACCACTACAGACCGTAATCCTTTTGTGTATCGCAGCAGCAGCCAGAGCCTGCAGCGAAGGCTCTGATCGCTGCTGCACCACATATTTAGCAAGGAACTGACATCTTAGGGAAGGGGCAACAAAATTAAGGCATGAGTGCAAGCCACAGGAACCTCTCCAGCCTGATAGTCACCCAGTGCTGACCGCTCAGCTACTGCTGATGCTTCCTGAAACTCTTTTCCTGGGGCCTGCAGGGCAGGAGTCTGTGATGTGGACAGTGGCACAAGAAATTAGACAGAATCCCATTCATTTTGTACCACGGTCAAAGAGCAGCCCACAGAGGAACAAGTTACATTTTTAATTTCATTCATTAGCTCCATTTGGGGTGCAGAGGGCAATCTGCCTCCTCTGCAGTGAGGCCTGCCCTGCGGGGAGAGGTATGTGGCACGGGTCTCCAGACCAGAGAAGCTAAAAATGAATCCCAAAGTAAACTGTTATCTCCAGGCAAGAAGTACAGCATGGTTATGTCTCCAAAATTTTCGTTCAGCAAAATAGGAAGAAGCCATCTGTTAGAATAAAGAAAACAAGATTTGGTTATGGAAAAAAAACCTCAAGATTCACAAGGCAGAGGAGTCTGCTGAGTATGTATTATTTCAGATGTCCAAGGAGACTGCATGTGATGTGAGGGAGCATCTCTGGGGGAATCTCCCCTCTGAATCAATAATGCAGCAGCATCCTGACACAGCAGCAGAGAGAATGGTACTGCCTGAAGAGCCATTCTGCAGGTGAGAACACCAGAGGAACAACCCAGCTAGAGGATTACAAGTCTGTTGTGACTCTCCCAGACACGCTGATGCCAAAGCTGAAGGTCCACCCTTGTTACAGCTGAGTTAACTATGTCCCACTTTGAGCTCTTCTCCCTGGAGCTTCACGTTCTTGGCATGTGCACACTGTACTGCACACCATCAGAGTCTACTTGGCATAATCACAGTTTATGAAGAAGTCTTCCAGATGTTCAAGGATTGACACTCCCCTTTGAGTGAGACTGTTTCAAAGCCACCTAGTACCAACACACAACATTTCATAGGAGTATTAAGAAGGTGATTTGGGCATAAGGACCCTTTTGCAGAGATCATCTAGCACACTATGCCATCTAAAGCGAATGGAGACCTTCACCTGTCTCAAGTCTTCCATCTAAATCCCAGATTTCTAGAAGACTCCAGCAGGTAGATACAACTATTGTGAACAGCTACCTCACAGCAGATGACCTCAATGGAAGAGTCAAGAGGTACCACCTTTCTACCTGGACTACACAATGGTGAATTCTGAAATAGCCAATACCTACTTTATCATTACATGGCTCAAATGCCAAGCAAATACATTACAGATCTCTGAGTGAACCCTAAATGCTGTGTTACCCTACCGCGCTCTCACTGTGGCTGTAACAGGTACTTCAATCCGTTTAGCTGTATCTCCTTCAGTCACCTGAGGTCTGAAAGAAAATTCAACCAAAGGTGTTAGCAGCAGAACTAAAATAAGCAAATTTTTGTACTGGGAAAAGGGAAGAATAAGGGAGAAAACAAGACCTTGAATTCATGTGCATCTTGATTACTGCAGGAGATGTGCCAGTCTAAACCCTCAAGAGGAAACCAATATCATTTCATTAAGAGGAAGCATCTAATTTGAATCTAAGTAACACAAAGTTTCCTAAATCCTATGTACATCCCAGAGAAAGAAGAAGAAAGCTTACTGTGTAATATGAACTGGGAAAGTTGAGTTTATATGGAACACGTGCACCCCCCGGAATGAAATCAGTGTCGGTGTGATTATCCCTCAGATGGTAATTCAGCACACCACCTGGGAGCCAGCAGAATTCCTGGCTAGTGAGCATGACAAGGAGCAGTCCTCAAGTAGTCCAAATGGCACATTCCTCAAATTTACTGAGATTGAGCTGAGGTCCCACATAAGGCAAACTTCCCTACTAGCAGAGTGGGCTCGTTAAAAGAGAGAATGTACTTGCTGCTGCGGCAAGCTGGCAAGTAGAAAGCAGCCAAACTGCCGACAGGCAACAGATAAAGATAGAGGCCAAGTAAGACTCAGGTGAGAGGTATTTCTGGTCCAAAGCAATCCTTTTTGTGCATTAGGTTTTTGCCCGAGAGTTCTGAATGTTACCACACACAACTGGATTAGCAGAAGGTGCCGCGTTACCACCCAGCTCTTCAGTTATAAACTCTACATTGGAGTGGAGAGGGTGCCTGTTCCTTTCTAATTGAGATCCTGGAAGCAACAGGCAGCCCAACGGCACCTGGCACATCCCCAAAAGGTCTGTACACCAAAGGTCTGTATGCCAGCTCTTCTGGAGTAAAGAAGCACTTACCCAGTCTCAGCACAGACTAAGAAGGGCATGGGAGAAAGCACACTCAGCAAGTTTCTCTCTGACATGCTTGGTCAGTCCAGCATGACTTCACTGGGAGAACTCCATGTGCCACGTGTATATTTGTACATGGTTTTACATGCGTACACAATGCGTACATGAACTAGGATTTTTGCTAACCAGCCTTTCTACATTTAAGCCTGTACAGTCTGAAGGTCTATCCTAGTTGAGCACCTCTGCCCACAGTGCCAGAAGAGGATATGAATGAAGGGGTGTGAGACTAGACAGCACGTAGTGACTCTTCCACCAAGCAGTCCCCAAAACTCCAGTGACCTGCGACTCAGAACTGCTCTGAACCTGATGTGTCTCTTCCATATTCTCCAGTCTCCACTTGAACTCATTTAAGCTCCTGACACTGCCATATACTGTGGTGAGTGGTTTCACTTCTGTCTGAAGCTGCCTCTGCTCCATTAGGAACCTCCTAGTTCCTGTGCTGGATCAGATGCTGAACTGCAGATCCCCACCACCCCAATCCAGGCTGTTCGGAGCATTATCACAAACATCCTTCCCAGACTGCAAATTTCCACCTGCTCCAAGTGGTGATAGTCAGGTCAGAGCCTATAATTTTACATATTAATTTGGGGCTATTTCCCTTTGTCATTTAAATTTATTTACACTGAACATCACCTGCCATTTTACTACCCACTCATTATCACAGGGTCATCTGCTGTTTCTTCACAGCTGACCTTTAGCTTCAGTACCACTACAATTCATTACCAACATGAACTTACTTCACACCCTTCTTTTTCCCACAGATGGGAAAGAATCTATGACCACACAGATAAGCACAGGTTTCCAGACAGATTGCTTCAGGGCTCCACTGTTGATCTTTCCAACTATGGATGTGAACTGTCTACTTTTAACTTTTTCTATCTTTTAATTCCAGTTTTCTTTGTGTGGATAGAAGTATGGTTGAAAGTCAAGAGAGAATAGGAATATGTAGTTTTCACAAGGAGGGGAAGTTGGGCTGTTAGCTACAGAGATCAGAGAAAAACATCTGCTCTGAGAAGAACCCCAGCAGCAATCCCAAACATGCTAATTAATTGAAGGCTTGATGACAGACTGAGAAAACAGCAAGAAAGAATTCAGTGATTGCAGAGATCTGATTTCCACACAAGAAGGCTGCTACGCTGAGGTATGTAACTCACATGTTTGGCTCCATTAGGGCAGGCTGCACAACCCAGCACCATGCTGCAATATTTGGCATATCACTGCCCAAAGCACTGAGTTAATTTCCT